AGGCGTCAGGAGGTATTTGTCAGTAAAATCCATAGTGAGGTAAGTTTGGCAGGTAAACCGAAAAGAGGTTGGGGGGAGATTGCTTTTGGTTTTTAATCTTGATGAACGCAGCTGTATCTTCTGGGTATTTTCTATAAGCCAGCCTTAGCCCATCACTGTGGGTCGCTGTGCTGGGCGCAGAGCTGTACCCAGCCGTTGCTCAGCCTGGCGCTGGCTGCTCCTGCAGCTCTGCCGGTGGTAAACTCACATGGCTGCTTTAATCCCCTTCACTTGGAAACGCGAGGTTTTAGCTGAGGGACGCTCGTTATGGGGAGTAAAACAAACCTGTCTGCACTTGTCTGAAGCTGGTTAGTGGTCCCATCAGCAAGGGGAATTGGGGAGAACAGTATTTGACAGGCCCATGGTGGTGAAAGGCAGGAGGCATTTCTCTCTTCAGTTGCCACTGCTTGTTCCAGAAGGCACACCTGAGGTCTGGTAGTCAGCTGAAGAATGGGGGTGGTTTCTGTCATTTCCTATTGCTAATAAACTGCAAACTTAGAGGATTCCTAGAACAGAAGGATGTTTTTCCGTTGTCCAAATCCTGTAAATGAAATGCTGATTCTTACTCAGGTTCTGTCAAGGAATATTTCAAAGTTTTTAGCAAATATTTGGTGAGTTGTATTGTCTGGGTTAGAGACAAAACTGCAAATTATGTATGCACCATTAACATGCAATTCAGATTATGCTCTCTGGAATACATGAAATAGTGAGAAGAAGATAATTTTGTAGTTTATACTAGGAGCAAACTTAATTTCCAAAAGATCCAGACTGTCATTACCTGATCTTCTAGACAGAAGTTCTTGCTGTTGTTTTACTGCAAAGAAGGCTCAATCTGGTACACATACTCTGTTCTTCTGGCTGGGTGGATTTGTAAAGGTTACAGCATGACCAAAGCAAACGTGCGGAGTGCAATAGTGTGTGTGAGGGCGTGAGTTCAGGAGAGCGTTAGCATTTCATTCAAGTTCCTTTTGCTGGTAGTTTCTAAGTCTGTGATTATAAAGGTAAGGGTTTGGGGTTTTTTATCCACTGTGTTAATTTTTGAAGTATTCAATGTCACTTGTCAGAAATCTGTCAACAGTGGTTTTCATATAAAATGTTCAGTGGTGACTTCGATTGAAGTTTGAAGAATTGAGGATAAAACATTAATTGTATATGTCAGGGACATGGAAGCAGTTTAGTGGTGTGGTTTGGGGTTTGTTTTTTTCAAGCTAGGAAATAGTGACCTGGTAATCGTTTGTTGCAAAAAGCTCTAGTAGACGTTCATAATTAAGATGTGCACAGCTTGTTGCTCTGCCCCTCTGATGTGAGTTGACAAATCGGGGTATCTTTTCGGAAATAGGGTGGGAGAGGTTGTTGTCTGAATCATAAATATAGAATTGCTTAAAAAGAAAGATCTTGTGCATTTCCTATGATCTCATAAAGGAATAGAATATGTTTGTGGAAGGGAACAAAGTACCTTAAATAGAGAAGTGCTCATATGAAATAGTGGTTTTACTTAATTTATACAGTTATTTCTGGTGACCCCAACCAAATGTTGTAGGACTGTGTAATTTTCTGCAAGAGAACCTGTTTGAATCTGTCTTTGTTCCAGCTTCGGTTGAGAACTAACACCTTTTTTTCCTGGGAGTTTCTTAATGGGTTGAAATCTCAGTAGAGTGGTGTAGTGTGAGGGGTTTTTTGCTTGTTTGGTTGTTTTGGGTTTTGTTTGGGGGTTGTTTGTTTGTTTGTTTTTTAAAAAATTAGGTGTTTTGACTCTTACTTAGAACTTCAGAGCACTATTTTCCTACCTAGTTCTAGCACTGATAGGAGTGTTAGTGTAGGGAGTCTGGCACTTGGTCAGATATTTTTGTCTCTTTTCAGAGCAGATTGAAATTATTTTCTGGAGGTTTCCCAAGTCCTTAACTGCTCCCCTTGGGAAGTTATGGGGAACTAGTGGGCACAGACAACGCAGTGGAAAAAATGCGGTGAGCACAGGACAGTCAGTCATAAGGAGTTGTTATTTCCTACTGTCATCTCCTACAGTTTCGTGTGTTGAGTACAATTTTATGATACAACTGAGAAATCCAATGGCTTTTTGCCACAAAAAGCTCCCTCATCCCCACACCCATGGTTTTTGCAAAGGCAGGCAAAGAAAGACACAGCAGTCAGCTCTGGCGTTTGTTGATCTTTTTTCTTGAGTCAATTCAGTTGATGGACTGGTTGGATTTGCCTAAAGGAAAACCAGCTTTTTGCTAAACTAGTGTGCTGGTTTGGCTAACAGAGGAGCCTGGTTAATGCAAGAGCAACAGAGTTTAGGGAGAAGACGTGGAACCTCTTCTCCTGGCCATGAGCCGTTGGGTCATCTCAGCTGCACTGGAAAGTGATAGCGGGTGGTCGGAAATAAACTTAGAGGCTGTTTGCGATTGTCTCTTGTGTGTTTTCTGAAGAGATAAACTGTAAATCAGAAGTTCTGCTGTCAGAGCAAGAATTCTGAGAAATGGTGGATTGAAGCTGCAGGATAAGTCTAAGCCAGTGATTGGAGGCTGAAGTACATGGGGTTTGGGGGTGGGTTTTTTTGTTTGAGGCTCCACGTACCACTGAGAAGCTGTTCAGTCACGTGATGCCAAATGAGAAGTTTAGTAGAAGTTTATCCTGCTGGTTTAATTGTGTGTCTGTGTTTTGGTTTTTATCCTGCTGGTTTAATTGTGTGTCTGTGTTTGGTTTTAAAGATTAGCGTTAGCCTTTTACTGGTTTAGTCCCCTCCAGAGCAAGTATGAATCTGGAGCAAAAGTAAAAACCTTGTGCTCTCCCATGTGATAGAAGTGCGATTGTCGGTTCTCATCCCTACTCTGAATTAGGTATGTAAATGCACAGCTCCAATGTTAATAACTGGTCAGGATGGGACCAGAGGAATGGGCAAACAGATTTCAATGAAGCTTTTTAAAAGGATCTATGCTAAAGTATCGAGAAATGATCTGCTCCTTGATGTACTGTGCTAGTACATTCAGGTAGTCATTTGTGAACTTTGATCTGTGAAAACGAGCTTCCAGCGAAGTTTAACTCCATTAAAACATAGTTTTACATTGAGGTTATCTGAGTTTTTGCTGCTGTAGCTGCACATTCATGCTAGTACTTGTCAGATCTCTCTGTGAGCCGGGCTGGTTTGTTAAGCTGTCAGGAGACTAACCAAGATGTTTAATTTTCTGCTCAGTTAGCAAGCTGAAGTAGCTCATTGTGGGCTCAGCTGAGTGGCAGTACCAAAGCAGGAAGGAAGGTGAGGCCATACAGGAGTGATTTAATTTCCTTGCACTGTCCTGATACTATACTCTTAATGCTTTTCCCTGGGGATTTGGAGAACTTGGAGACAATCATTTCTGCAATTTTTAGGAACCTCTCCTTAGTCTGTGTTACTAAAAAAAATTAAAGTTGTGTTAAACACAGCTTAAGAGAAACCCTAGTTATGCAAGATACATTTGCATAGTTGCTGAAGGGTATGTTTATCTATGCTGGTCCGCGTGCATACGTGTGGACTAAATAATCACATTGTATACTGTTGGCCTTAATTTTTTTGCATAGAGACTGCTTGGAATACAGACCAGGGTAATGTAAAACCTGAAATCCCAGTGACTAAGTAGCTGATAGAAAAAACAGTTTTCTTTGACCCCCATCTTTTTCAAACTTGTGTAGTATGTATTCTCTGCTAACAACTTTGTATGTACCCAGTCCTAGAGTTTTATTATAGAGTAGGTGGATTCTTCCAGTACAGGAAAGGATCTCTAGTAAAAATCACGGAAAACACCATAGCTGTAGGTGGCTGTAAGGAAAAATGTGTAGCTATAAGCAGTTAACAAGGAAAGTGAAGTTTTATTGTATTGTTATTCTGCTACTACATCGTTGTGCATATTTTATTTGGAAATAAAAGCATACCATGATTGCATGCACAAATGTTAATTAACTTTGTTCCCTTCAGCAGTGCTAAAATACTGTTTTAGCATCTGTGATATAAAGCAATTAAGCATCCACTTATTTAATACCTATCAATATCTGTCTGTTTTCATGTATAATAATCAAAATCCAGTAATTATAGTTCAGTAAGTATTACTTGGCTTTCTTTAGAGGCAGTACATCCTCATTTTCTGTTGTGAGTATATCATTATCGCTCTGTAACAACTTAATCAGTGTTTCTGTGCTTCTCATTTCTTTTTCTCTGTTAAGTGGGAATAATAATCACTATATTAAAAAAGACTTGATTTTTAATTTGTTTTCAGATATTAAAGTGTCTTGTTTTTAACTCAAATGAAGTAAAGTGAAAATGTTTAAATCTTTCTCTTACAGTTTGCATTTATTAAGATCATTTGGGTTGAACATTGCATTCTTTAATTATTTTTGGAGGGAATTTGCCATATCATTTTTATGTGGATTCTAGTTGCGTAGAACTTGACAGACAGTGAACTGATTTTGAAATGTACTGGCCCTAAACAGTACCGTGCTTGGGAAGGAGCATCTGAATTAAGCCATCTCAAACTAGAGAGAGCTCTCTTATTTTCTTTTTTGTAGTTTGTATTGCCATTGCTTGGTAGTAACTAGCTTCCAGGGAAGTGGTTAGTTTCTTTGAAACAGTTTGAGTGCTGAATAAATTAATGCAGGAAATATTTGTCTAGCTTTGAAAGTATATTCAGCAGTTGCTAGTGCATAACAATGAACTTGTTTACTTTTTCCTTGCTGTGAGCGATATTAATTACATTCTTCCCTTTTCTCCAGTTAAAGTACCTCGTAATTTTCGCTTGTTGGAAGAACTTGAAGAAGGGCAGAAAGGAGTAGGTGATGGTACAGTAAGCTGGGGCCTTGAAGATGATGAAGATATGACACTCACCAGATGGACAGGAATGATTATTGGGCCACCGAGGGTAAGTGTGATGAATTCCTGTTTTTCTCAAGTTTGTAGGCAATACAAAATGCAAAAAAAATGGTACCTTGCCACAGTGTAAAGGAATTAGTTAAAATTCAACGTACGAAGTTGTAGAAACGCTGTATATTCCTGTTAGAATTCATCACTTCCTGGTGTTTTCAGTCTAGCCTCCCCTAGTACGTGTTTCTGCAGCTGTCTGTGTAAGCCAGTTGCAATTTGAGGCTCAATTCTGAGTTAGGAATACATATTTGGTCTTTATTTCCACTATTACTGCACATAAGTGTGCAGTGGTAATACTGTAAACAGGGTACCTGTCTTTCCACAGTTTATTAGATGTGCCAAGTAATTTCAATTCTGTAGTAAACCGGCAATATATTTTCAGCTTTCACAAATTTTATCAAATAGTCTTTCAATATAGCAGATGATGCATTTCAGTTGAATCAGGCCTAAAGACCGAGCAGTTTTTAATTCTCTCTCATAAGATAAAATATATACACAAAGTTCAAATCCTTCTGACCTTTGAAGTTCTATAGCATGTCATCTAGACTGATAAAGCCTGCAAGAGAACTAATCATCTCTTGAGGCTATCAGCCTCTTCAGATACGAGTGGACAGACCTTTACTTGACTTGTGCTCGCTTTCTCATGATTTATGATACAAAGGATCACAGTGTAAATGAGAACTTTGACTGAGTATACTTCGAGTAGCTCTAAGTTAGCATATGTCTCTCACTGCCAACATGAGGTTACCATCTTGTGTGTCCTTCAGTGCCGCAGGGCCTGTTGGAAGAACTGTCCAAGACAAGAACTGAGAACAGAACTTGGCCTCAGTGAAGAAAATGTCTTCCAGAGTAACAGAGTTCCAGAGTTAGATTCAGGATAATTCAAGCTCCTTTTGGAAGTCAGTGTTAGTTGCAGCTTGCAGCAGACTGTTTGACAATCTGCGCAATTGTGCTGACTTCCTAAGATTTGGGTGCATTTGAGAAAGAACCAATTTAAAATATAAGCATAATGGCAGTATGCTTTGCATCCAAGCCTCTATGGAATCACAGTGATTGAATACATTTTGAAGGAAGCTTGTAGTCTTACGGGTTTTGAAAAGAACTTACAAGTGTGAGCTAACTAAAGTAGTGTCTCCCTGACTCTCTGAACAGCCTCCAGCACTGTCTGTGACTGGTTTCTGGTTCAACCTAAGGTAGAATCCTAACACATCTTTGAAGGGAGTGTTTATTATGAAGGAACCCATATGGTTTTTTTTAAAAAAAAACAACCCAAAGCCACAAAAACCCCACCCACTTGGGATACACTTTTAATTCTGGTCAGTTTATATTGCTGTCATTTTACTTTCTTTATGGAAGAATGCACACAAGTAATATTTTGGGCCATTTCAGGGTTGTGCAGCCTTGCTGATAGAATGACTTGCAGTACCTGGTGACTGTAGAAAGTGAAAGCCACCAGCTTCCAAGCCAGTGGTGGCACCTTGAGAAGAACTGCATATCCAGTTCCAGGATCTGAAGAAGATGGGTGTTTGTGGCATCGGCTGAGTTATGTAGACAGTGTGCAGTTAGGCAGAACACAGAGAAAGCTGCTTCATAGCGCGAAGTTCTTCACATACGTGGATTCTCCAGTGCTGTGCAAAAATTGCTTATCAGGTTTTTTTCTTGCTTCATTTGGAAGGTGAACCAACATGGAAGGAGGAAAGGAAGGTTTGTTTTGGGTTAAAGGAAATATTTTTCTGATTGCCAAAAAATGAGGTTTTAGGCTTTCTGGGGAGCTGGCCAGGGATGCTTGGCTTGCTGTAAAACAGTGACTTGAAAAACTGAGCAAAATTGAGAAGTCACCTGGATAGGAATAAGAGAATGAGAGTTATTCTTAGGGTTTTTCAGTTGTGAGCAGTGTACACACATAGACGTGGTGCTTAGGGACATGGTTTAGTAGTGGGCTTGGTAGTGTTAGGATAATGGTGGGACCTGATGATCTTAAAAGTCTTTTCCAACCAAAATCATTCTATGATTCTATGATTTCAGCCTCTTCCACTGTAACTGACAGCATCCCTCTCTGGGAAAGTGAATTCTTTTATCTGAGTGAATAATGAGAATTTTTATTACTGTGTTTTCTTGCTGTGGTAGCAGCTACGTCACCTTAAGCATGACAAGATTACTTTTATCAGGCCTTTAGCTTTTAATGGGAAAGAATAATGGAGAACTTCTTTCCTAGCAAAGGATGTTGTGCTTTGCCTTGTTTCTTTCTGACCCGCTTGCTGCTCAGTCTCTGGCTTCTGGAAAGTACAGGACACGGTTAGGGCGCTTCAGTAGTCCCATCTCCAGTCTGCCTTTTGATTGACCACAGAGTGGATTGTCCTTTGATAACTTGACTGCCTGGTTGACTTGGAGAGAATGACGGCTGACTGATGCAGGACAGCTTAAAGATGGGACTTCTGGAAAGTTCAGAGGCGTGTTACTGCTTTTGGTTCGTGTTACCCGTGTCTGTTGTGCCAGTGGAAAGACAGGTGTGGGCACCGGGTTTGTCTTCCTTTTGGAGCAGACAGACATGTGCATCAGTGACCAGCAAAGCCACTGATGCTTTCACATGGCCTGCTTGACAAGAATAAAAAAAAAAAAAGAAAGAACCATATTCATTTCTAACTGGACTTTCTCAGAATGTATTTGCACTTAGAATGGTCTGTTCCACAGGCGCTTTGGAGTGGCGTCTTCTGCAAACTGTCTGTCCCTTTACTGTCCAGAGTTCACAAATCTGCTGGTAAACCAAGCAATCCTCAGCTATGGAAGTCTTGGCTATCTTCTGGAGCGTTAATTATTTCCAGAATATGTTTGGTTCTTGGTGTCTTAACTGTTGGGTTATTGGCATCTTCATTTTTGTCCATTTCCATTTTTTTTGCAGTGTTAGGTATTTTTTTTTACAGGGGAAAGCAGTAATTTTCCTAAAGATTATTGATTTTTATCTCAGCCCCTTACTGTGCCAAAGTTGTCTTGGAAATGCAGGTGGATAGGAAGGGTAAGAGTAAATGTGAATGAAAAAAAGAATTGTATTCTGTTAAAACTTTTGTACGGTATAGTCAATAAGTAGTGTGATTTATGAATATTCATCAAGTAATCAATATAACCAAAACAGTGAAATATCAAATCAGTGATCCAAGACCATCATTTGGCACGTAATTTTAACAGATTTATCATTATTTTGTGTTTCTTAATCTTTATTCCTCTTGCCTTTGCTTTGTTGTTCTTTTAAAAATTGATTAATACTCAGCTTTCAGTAGGATGCATTAGTCTGTCTTTTTGCTTTCTAGACAAACTATGAAAACAGAATATACAGTCTGAAAGTAGAGTGTGGACCTAAATATCCAGAAGCACCTCCTACAGTTAGATTTGTAACTAAAATTAATATGAATGGAATAAATAATTCCAATGGAATGGTAAGTTGAAATGGTAAGATCAACCATGTTGTTAATCCGTACTATAACTTATTGTTGTGAAAATCCCAGGTGAGGAATATGCATGTTGGACAGAGCTTTCATATTTAAATTTTACAGTATAAGTACTTGGTTTAAATAAAATTTTGGTTACCTACTGTGTCAAATCTTTAGGTATAGTGGTTCTTAGTGGCTTATCAATGAGATGAGCATGATTTATAGTATTGGAACAGTTGTTTCCTTTAAAGGAAGCTTAAGATTTTAGTTTTGAACAGAAAAAAAAGACGTGTTTAAGCCATATGTAGGTATTTCCCTTGTAATACTCTTATAAAAGGGGATTAGATTCATATTGGAACTGGAGTATTACAAACTCTGTCTGATGTTTCCATGAGTTAAAAATGGAGGTTATTCGTGATGGGGTCTCACTCTGGATGTAGTAACTGACCTGTAATGAACCAATGTATTTAAACTCTTATTTCCTCTATACTGGGTTTGTTCAAATCTGAGGTGATTCTGAGCTTCAGTCTTAACATCTTTTGATATATATGGTAATCACTTTCGTTTTAAAGACCAATTTGCAATAAGTTACTTTCACTGATCCCACACTTAGGGTGGGATGAGTTCACGTACACGAGCAATGGCTGCAGCTCAAGCGAGTTTGTTACTCCGTTATTCAAGATGTACTTTAATCCTGTGAGTAAGTCTGGGGTACCCAGTTGCTCAGTGAAGAGAGGTGTGAGCTGTCTTGCCCTTACAGTGGTGTATGCATATATGGGCAGGAAGTACAGTAATACGTCACGCTTGTCTGGGTGTACATTTGTCTTTAGTGTCTGCAAAGTAATTGGGTTAAGGTCATACTTAAAGGTGAGTCAGCGAGCATCTCTGGATTTTAAATAACTTGCGAGATTTAAAAGAAAGATGGACTTGTGTTTGTGTAATTAACAGTACTGAAATGTGAAGCTTAGGTATCTCGGTGACTGTAGTGGAGGACAAGGTTCTCGGAGTTGGTTTGAGCTGTTGTAGGTGATAGGGTCGTGTACTGGTTGGTCATCCAAAGCTGGTGCACTAACACTTCAGAAATAATCTAAAATTAATTTGAAATATAGCTTCTCATATAGCCAAAAATTGTACTCTGCCTGACTATCTTACCAAAATTGCTGCCTAAAATCCACCTGTTGCCCTTCATCACAACTGTGGCTTGTATAGTATGTGTGTGTATTAAGAGGTTGTGACTGGCAAAGGCTGCCAGTCTGGAATGCGGCAGAGCTTTTCGTACATTTACAACACTATTTTCATACCTCTCCCTAGAAACATGTGTTGTTCTGGATCAATAAAGAAGAGTGCTCTCATCGCTTCATCTGTGCGTGCCTGTGAGGGTAGGGGGTGGTTTCCAGAAGCAGCATCTCAGACCTGCAGAGCCTGAAGGCTCGTGTTTACTGAGCCAGGTGGCTTGAGCTTTTCTTTGGAGAAGTCTACACTCCCTCAGCTTGCTGAGGAACAGGGTGAATACTGCGCCAGGAAATCCACCTGGGCATTTGAAAAGCATTGTTAAAATCCAGTCATCGCTACAGGAAAATTTGATTTTAGTAGGTTTATAAACTCACACACAACCTTAATTCAGTTTTTCCCCAGCAGTTCTATAAGCTAATATATCTTATGAAGGATTTGCTATGCAAAGGCATAACTTACTTTTTTAATGGATTAAAATAGGACTGGATAGTATTTTTAATAAAAACAGTTTTCATAACTAATGAAATTAAAACACATTTATTCTGTAACTTTTAATGTGCCCATTGCCCCTGGTATCTTGAATTTTAGCTTGCTTCACCGTTGTGCTCCCTAGAATCTGTCAGATAAACTAGGGGTATGTTCAGCTCCTGGAACAGTTCACGTTGCTGCTTCCTAGTTTGGTTCCGTCTTGTTGCTTCCCAGCTGCTCTCCCACTGTCTGAGCATCCTTCATTTAATACATCAGGAGCGGTTTGCTGCGTTCTTTGAATGAATGGCAGGGTTTCATCTTCAGACAAGCTCTACTATCCGTGCTTCTGCATGCACACTGGTTTTTGAGATGTGGCCAGCTTTCGGTCATGCTTTTGATCATTACAGATGTCATGAAACAGTTGGCAACTTGCAGAAAAGAGGCCTGAGATAGACATTAACCAAAATTGTACGTTGTAGCAGTATTATCATACTACTCAAAACATTTGTAACGTTGTTAAGGTACACTTTACAGGAGATGCGTGCCGGTTAACACCAGAGGAAAAGCAGGGCCCCCAGTGTGAGTTTAGAGGGTGATAATTTCTGTTGAGTTGGAGAATGAATGATGGAGGAGGCGGGGAGATGGATGTGTGTTAATGTTACTGGGAGTCTGAGGAAGCTGGTCTCACACTGCCTTGTTGGCAGTGGTTCTCAACCTTCTTGACTTACAAGTCCCTTTACACTTTGCATGAAAAGTGCACATGTAATGAATTTATCGATACTGACAGTTACAAGTTTTTTGGCTTTTTGTTTGATTATTCTGAGAGGAGTTTTGCTCGTAAGTAACTTCTCCATCAGCAGCATATCTTCAGGGATCCCAGGGACTGCTGTTCAATACACTTAGTGCAGGAAAGGAGAGGGCTCCTTCAAGAGTATTTTATCTCAGAAGACTAAACTTAGGTGCTCCAAGTCAGTTGCCTTTATTTTCTTATCTGCAAGTTAGTTTTTGTGGTTTTCTGCTTTTTGGTTTCCCTCTGGAGCTGCTGCATTTGTACTCAGAATTAGGGCGCCAAGTTCAGAAAAGCTAGTCCGAGTACTTATGTAGGGCTGAACAAAACGCAGTTATGTGCTAATGGCATCACTGTTCTAAAACGGTATTTAAATTACCGTTTTTAATGCCGCAGGGTCTTTTCTCTTGGAGATTTGTATATCCTGTATTGATAAAACACAGGTTGTGTTCTGACATGCTATTTATTTTCCCATGGTCTTTTGTGGAGGTCAGATTTTTACATCTGAGAGCACGCTCCTCGGCAGACTATCTTGCAGGATTTGCAGTCACTTCTGTTCATTTCGATACCGTTTACAGCTGGAAAGATTTGTTTCCTTTAAATTCGCTTGGGACTCTGTCCGCTATAAACCTGTGAACTGTTGTCCAGTTAACTGCTTTGAGAATGTTGACTGTAGACTAAGCAGTCTGCTACTTCTTAAAGTTAAGATATTGGGAACATTATAAACACTGAATACTTTGCAACATTGTGTAAAATATTTGCTTTCATTTCAATTGTTCAGAAAAAATTATGCGTTATACATATTGCTCCTTTTGCTGTTGTTTAAGGATTTGCAATGGTGTATCCCCAGAATAAAGTAGTCTTCGGGTTGCAGTTTTCAGCTTTATTAGCTTTTATGTGACCTTGAAATGCCTCTCTCTGTGTCCCAGGATGTGTACTTTAACATTACCTAATGTGTTTGTGCAATTTGAACATCGTTTATGTCATTCTTCCAAATATCTTATAATTGTTCTTCATGAAGTGAATTTATTCTGCGCTAACTTGGAAGTAGATTCTGCAACACAGAAAGCAGAACCTGACCCAAAATCCTTACTACTGCAAGATGTCAAGAAAAAAGTTGGTGACTTGCAGAAAAGAGACTTGAGATAAACAGCAACGAAAATGTCACGTTGCAGCGGTCTTTATTCAGAAAACATTCATAACATCGTTAAAGCAGAGTTTACAGTCTGTGAGTTTGGTGTTACAAATTCCCAGCCGAGAAGGAAAAGCTGGAGGAGCTTACTTTAAAGTGATGAGGTCTCGTATTCCGGTACAGCCAGTGTACGTAGAATTGTGTTGTTTGAACAGCACTGGTGACTGTAATTGCTGTGTGCTGTAAGAGAGGCAGATTTCCGGATCTGAGAGCCTACAAAGGCAAAGCTGAGGAGAAGCGAGGAGAAGGAGGATGGTAGGAAGGCAGAGTTGCCAGGCTGAAGGTGGACATTCATTTGGGGAGACCCAGAGCAACTGCCTTTCCAGCCATTTTTTGCTAACCCAGTCTTTATCTGAACAGATAATTATATTAGATTTTGGTAGGTTTGAGAAAGAAGAAAGGGAAAACGTAGGTTTAGTTTTCTTACCCATGTGGGTTTACCAGTGGTCTTCTCAAATGGTTTATTATCATATGGGCTTCCAGCCCCAAGCACACGTCTTTCCTGCTTGGCAATCTTCTGTTGTAAGCGCTATCTGGTCCTTGATATTCGGTTACTGTGGCTTCTTTCCCACCTATTTTTCTCCGGGAGATTTTTGATTTGTTTTTTTCATAGCTATTTCAGTAGAAAATGTTGTGATTCAGGCTAACATGGAAATTTTTTAAACTAGTGGTCTGCCAAAGGACTTATGTACCAAAGCATTCAGGGAATACTCTCACGTTTTGTTCCATTTTGCTGAATTGAAGAGGATGTCAGGTTAGCTGCGCAGGAGCGTTAACGAATGTTAGTGTCTGTGTGTGAGAGGGGAGGAATAAGCTCTCAAACATCTGCAGCTGTATGCTAAGTGTACATACGATCCGGGCCCTTGTTTCTTCTGTTACCATGATACTTAACCACCGTGAGGTTTTTCTTCTTTTTGTAAGACCCCATGAGGAAAAATGGTGGTCTCGGGCATTTCTCGTGGCTTTTTCTATATGGAGAACAATTTTGAGTAATATTTAATAATCTAACTTTTGAAATGAATTTGTGTTGTTCCTAGTTAGCTTGTAGGATAGAAACTCTGGAGTGTCATTCTTTAATCTTATCTAGAAGGACTGGAGAGGAAGAGATCTGTTAGAGCTTGGTACCTCAGATTCAGGCTAAATGATGCCTTACTTAAGCTGCTGCTTGATAACACAGGTGATCTCATCAGAATTTCCCTTTTACTCACTGGTGGTTTTATCTAATGGTCTGCTTTTTAAGAAAAGAGAACCTGTTTTCCAGTTGCAAAGGTTATTCTGCTCTGATATTGTCTCTTATCTACCACATCAAACCAAATACCCCTTAAAAAAGTAGTAGTAGTCATCCAGGAATTACAGCGATGGTCTGACCAGTGCTGCTTTCAAAACCTTTCTGTATTAGCTCATACACTCCTGCGTATTTTAAACTTGCATGATCTTGCTGCATAATGGAGCTTTCCCTTTGATGCTCTTTCTCTTCCTAATTTATTAATGTTGCAGTAATTATTAAGTAATCTGACTGCCTTTTATACTGCGGTTTGACGATATGCTGTCTTTGGCAGCTCTGCTGACTTCAAGGGGTTCCCGACTCTGAGCAGAACGTTATTTGTGTGAAGAGAAATGCTTCCAGTGCTGAGCTGTGAACTGGATCAAGGATCCTGCTTAGGGACTCCTTTCCAAGCTGTTGTTTTTAAACTGTGTGTGTTCTATCAGTTCAGGTCAGAAATCTCTCCACGTACATTTCATGGTTCTCCTGAGCTGACAGGCGGTAGCACTGCTAAAGGAACAAGTGCCTAGTGAGGGAGAGCAGAAGCTTCTTGGGTTGGTATTGCTGCCCAAGCCAGCATGTTGTTAAACCTTGGCCTCAGTTTCCTAATACAAAAAGGTGTAGTCTCATCTGGCGTTCTGAAAACAGCCAGCCTCACTCGAACGATCTAGAAATAAAATATCTGTGTTAACATTCTTATTTCTGATACCAGTGTTGTTTTTTCTTTCAGTTTGCCCTAATTAAGGTGGGATAAGAAACTTCTTGATGTTTTATGCTGCCTAAATCATAAAACAATGGTTTCCAGCACGTTTATAGCTGTGGGCTGCCCGTGCTACTCTGCCAGTGGAATTCAGTAGCGTGCAGTAGCCCTGTTCCTGCCCATGGGCCTGCTTTGCAGTTGCACAGCTCTAGGCCCCTCTGTCTTCTGAAGTTCCTCCTTGCAGGGACTGGGTGGCCAGGACTTACCTGCTGCCAAAACAATTCCCCAGCTGACTTTCAATTGCTGACTTTCCTATGGAAACCTCCCTGTTATAATATAATTGTGTAAATTGTCCCACAGGTTTTATAAACGCATAGGAGAAGTCCCATGTCCTTTCCTTTCAGTTCATATTCAAATTGGTAAGTGATGTACAGTAATCTTCACGGCTCCGTAAGATGACTTACTGTAAGAAGGATGCAAAGAACTAAGAAATGTCCAGACGTTATGAATTGGTTATTTAAATAGTTCAAGCCATTTCTTAGTATACCTAGTGACTCTTGATGTACTTTTTCCTTTTTTTGGGGGTAATTTGAAACAAATTAATAAATTTTACAAGATATGGCTCCAGTTTTGCTGTGAATGGTTCGCTGATGTCCTCCTCCCCCCCCCACCCCTTTCCTTCTCACTAATAGTAGTATCAGCACAGATGGAAGGGTCCACCTGCATGGATTTTATTGCAGAATCTGTATCTGTGTGTAAGTATATGATTGTTTTCCTTAAAATATTTTATGAACACGGGGACTTTATGCCACAGAGAAAGTGTCAGGGAATGCTTAGACCCTTTGTTAGAACATTTAGGTCAATAGCTGTTATTTATGTAGAGATTTTGTATTTCATCATGACTTACAACTCTCTCTTCTTTTTCCAGGTGGATGCACGGAGCATACCAGTGTTAGCAAAATGGCAAAATTCTTATAGCATTAAAGTTGTACTTCAAGAGCTAAGACGTCTAATGATGTCCAAAGAAAATATGAAGCTTCCACAACCTCCAGAGGGACAAACTTACAACAATTAATTTTAGCTGATTCTCAAACTTCTGTCTTAAAACAACAACCTTCTACTCATGTTAATGTCTTGATTAAATCTCACAATGCAAACACCCACACATTAAAAGAATTTCAGCTGGTATACATGACCTGGACATTTGTAAGAATATATATAATATATGTATGCCCAATATGTTTTCAGGCACTATGGGAGAAAAAGGCAGCACAATTATTTTTTTTCTCTTATCGAGGCACTGTCATTGAAGCATAAGCCTGAAATAGCCTAAAATTGGAATTCAGGTTTTACAAGATGAAAGCATGACAGAAAGTGTCAGATTGCTGTGGAATAATGTATGTTTCTGAAAATAATCTCTTGAGAAGGCAAAATATAAATGGCATGCTTTATCCATCTTGCTTAGTAAAAGAGCTGCAGTTAAATTTGTTTTAAAGTAGCAGGTACAGTGAATACCGTTGCTCATCTTGTTTAATTTTGCAAGGGTGTGGGTGCCGACTACTAGTAGTGTCACAAAGTATGTTCAGGATTGTTTTGATACCTGTATTTATAAAATGGGGGGATTAATTTCTGTTAAGCAGCTCCTGTGTGTTACATGTATCGGACATGGCAAATATTTGTTTACAGTCTTTGTTCTAATAAACCATGCATTTAAGTTTTAGTGAAACAAAGGAAATGTATGGATATGTGATTGAGATTAAAGTTAGTCTTAAAATGTAAATAAAATGTGGAAAGTGTCTGAGGCTGTGCCATTTCTATAATAGTGATGTAATATATGTACAGTAACTTGCAGAAGTAGTGGAAAGCCAAACATAATATTGCTGCTGGTTTTACATGCACCTTTTATTCTTACCACTTCTGTATGCTTAGTTTGCTTGAGAGGTCAGAGTGTTCCGTTTGTGGCAGGGGAGTAAGTTCTGTCGTCTGTAGTACCACTTCTTTAGACAAGCTTGCACTCTGTGTGTATATATATATATTTAAAAAAAAAAACCACCAAGACTCCCCCAAACCAACCCCAAAATAAAAGCAAAAACCCCTTGCCTACCCACCTCCCTTTCACCTCCCCTCCGGATTCTTTTGAGAAATGAGCATAACTTCCACTCTGCTTACTTGGCCTCTGAGCAGTTTTCAGACAGTATTGCTGAAGTCTGTCCTAATTTTTAGTCTTTTGTCTTGCTTTTGCAGCTGCTGCCTTGATTCTTGCTCTCTTGCATCTCCTCTTACGTTTCTTGCCTCTTCTTCTTGTCTGTTCCACTTTTGCCTTTTCTGAAACACACGAAAAAGAACCTTCAGGAAGCTTTAAAACAAATTACACCCGTGGTGTAGATAATCGTATTTTCATCTACGTTCCGTGTATCATGTGCCATGACACCGCTGTCTTCATAGCTGGAATGCTTTCTGCCTCCTCTGCGGCTGTTGGTCTGTTTTCTTCAATGTCTTCTGTCTGGCGGGGACACTGGTTTTAGTGCTGTTACTGATTTCTCTTAAAGTAGTTAATGTTACCGTTTTGGAAATGATACCTGCTTTCCACACCCTCCCCTCTTGGAAAATGCCCGCCTGTGTTCATTTTGGTGAGGACATGTAACTTGGGGCGCAAATCGGCTGTTTGCATTCAAAATTTTATGTCGTGGTTCTTTAGAAAACGTGAATATGATCCAAAGCCATCAACAGCCAGGTAACTTTCGTTGATATGCCTTTGCCTATTTCTGATGTAAAGAATGAACCTTTAAAAGCAATAAACTAGGTGTTCGTGGTTTTTTTTTTTTTTAATGGAAAGGATTAATTAGTATTTGTCAGTTCATGCTTTTTAGACAAAGTGGAGACTTCCAGAAGTGGTGGATTTGTAGCTGCCAGCTACGTTGTGTCTGTATTTATATAACATATCATTTGTGACGGTTTGGCTGAAGTGCATTGCAACATTTTCTTACTCGATTTAATTTGAATGATTTTGATGCCATTAAATCTTTTTTTCTTACACTAACACTGCTAATCTATATTTAATCATTTAAAGTAGTGCAACTGTACGGTTCTGAGATGTGAATTTTGGGGAAAATTTCAGCATAAACTGTTGAGAGAATGGGAAATACTCGTAGACTATTACATGGTTGTCAGCATAATTTAAGAGACTGACTTACCAAGCATGGAAAAGGGCTGGTGTTCGCTTGGTTGTGTGTGGTGCGAGTTGATCCCACAACAGTTCGTCCTCCTTGAGTGTACTCTAACCATTTGCATCTGTGAAAATCTGCATTTCCAGCTGTAAGGAGATACGTTTTGCAGAAGAAAAAAAAAAAAGTGGTGGAGGGAGTTGACCTGCTCCCTGACACCAGGGTATGTAATGTCAAGGCTGGCTGTAAAAATACTCCTGCAGTGATTTGAAGTGTGTTCGTTTTCCATTTTGCTCACACTGGAACAAGTCGAAGTGTAATTATGAAATTTTAAAATGTCTTTGACTACTGCATAATGTCGAGAGCCTCCTCAAAACTCTCTTCCTACCTGACGAAGATTTGGAAGCGCTGCTGCTTCCTCTCCTCCAGAAAGGTTGCGTCGTTTTACAGGTATCCATGTCTGATCAGTGTTTACTTAGTAATTTGTTTTCTCGTGTACTTGTGGTTTCTCTTAAGTAACTTCCTCAGATGCCAGAATTTTAATTTTCTTCTTTTAAGTATTCAATTTGTCTTATGTTCTCTTGGCAAGATTTGCTACTGTTAGCAGATGTGTATTTTTTTTTCCTTCTCAAAACTGTATTTGTACATCTTGCAAAGCAGAGCACCATTTTAAACCGGTTGTGTGAGGGGGCAAAGTGCAAAAGTTCTAAATATAATGTGTTTTCAAATTGCATGTGAAAATTCATATCATGTTGGTGGTCGTCAGCTGGGATTTAAACTAGCTTTGTGCTCTGAAGCATTGCCAAGGTTCTTATGGTTTGGTTGTGCGAGGGAGGGAGAAGTCCGCTATGAAGCCAAGAAAAAAAACCAGACCCAAAGATGGTACGATCGATGCTTCATAAACCTTAGGATACAATGAGCAAGGAAATGTGGAAATACCCGTGTTACAAATAACGTGCCTTACTGCTGACACGGTACAGAAAGCGTTGCAAGGTGCGCATCGTCTTCCCGAAAGCCGGTGGAGAACACTTGACAGCCAGCGTGACGGTCGGGAGCGAATCCCTCACCTGCTATGAAATAAACACATAATGCACGTTCCTCCTGAGGGTTTGGTGTTGTATAGGGGATACCTAAAGGAAAAATAGTGCATCCTGTGGCAGTTGATCAACTCTAATAAACTGTGTGATTTAGACCAGTATTTGTGGTTTACATGGTTACTTACATGGTGAGTCTGTGGAAGTGTATTTCCTATTTCGTAGCTTTCCAGATAATAATTCAGGGCCTAAAAATAGTTATTACACTGCTCTTACACGATGCTTTGATGCAGCAGGCTCGTTTAGCAGGGCACCTGGTAACTATCCTGTGATGGGCAGGATGCCTGACTGCTACCTGCGTTCTCGTTCTTCTCCTGGCCTCTAGTCTTTGAGAACAGCCGGATTGCCGCTGGCGTGGCTGGTCTCGGCTGCTAGAGGAGGAGGACTACGCTGGTGTTAAACGAGTCCGAATATGTGTTACTGTAACAAAAAAAAAGGTGACTTAAAACTACTGCTGGTCTTTCAAGCAAGTGAAACTCCAGGTGGAAGGGAAGCGGTGGGACAAAATATGTTTCTCCTATTTTTTTCTAAATGATGTGCTCAGGACTCTTTGTGAAGCCTAGGAAGGTTTCTGAGGTGGGGAGGTGTTGGAGGAACATGATGAATGCCTGGGGGCTTTCTTTAATAATAATGAAAAAAAAACCCCAAAACTTTAAAACTTGTTAATGCATCTGTTTTAACTCTACCTGATGAAACAACTGTGGGAGAGGGTTTTCTTCTTTTAACCTGTTGTGGTGGTTGCATATTCCCTGAAAGAGCGTATTCTGCCTCTTCTGTTGCAGACCCAACTGATCATGGGTTAAAATGTCATGAAGGATGGGTTGCCTGTAATGCTGGAAGTTTGAAAATAACTTACTTATGCTGCTTTAAAAAAAAAAAAAGTACGAAAGAGCAGCTTTCACTGGCTGATTTCAGCTTCTGTAGGAATGAGTACTCCATTCACTGGGTAAAATACCAGCTTTCTACATTACCCTAGTGTTAATGTGGTTTGTAATGGGGTTTTGGTGTTTGGGGTTCTTTTGGGTTGTTTTTTGGTTTTGTTGTATTTTGTTTTTCACTACATAGATATATGCCTTCAGCTTAGTTGATGAACAGCTGTAAATGAATGCACAGCGAATTAAATTCTATAAAATAC